AGCTAGGATGTGCTGCTTTCATCTTCTTTGACAAAACCTGGGAAGATGTGAGTATCTTGTTTATGGAATTTCTTTTGTTTTTGAAGTTATGAACTTAAGATGAAATTTCTGCTAATTTAATTGTGATTTGACTTATCTTTTGTAGGAACTTCCGACTGATAAAACTGGAAACTTTAACATGATATATAAGTTTCTAAAAGAACACTGGAAGATAGCCAAATGGGTTGCTCTTGGAGCTGTTATCTTTGAGGTAAGCACAACGTGGCACCTGTTGGCAATGTTAGATATAATCACTTAGTTTATTTTGATTGCTTGAAGCTTTGACTTATTTGCAGTTAAGCTATTTGAAACGTGATGGGATTATTTTGCTGACAGGAAAAGAATAAATTAGCATCTTATACACTAATAATAAGAAATATCACTGCCCAAAAGTGTTACCAAGCAATATGTGAAACCTTGAGAAACCATCCAGTGCAAAATTTATCACATTTCTTACAAGAGCTTAATTCTTTTTTTTTCCTGCTAAAATATAAGTTCTTCAGCGCACCTAGTTTTGAACCCATACCATTTTTGAGGAAATGGATGGAGATAACCACCATTTTCTGGTGGTTAACAAGAGCTTTCATTAATTGGTTCTCGCGGTTAATTTCACTTAATTACTGCTGGATCTGTAGACTGTAAGCATTGTTGTTCAGGTGTTGACATTGTTTTGATCCTATTAATTAGGATCATGTTTAATGTTATATTGTTTAGGAGTTGCATTACTTTCATAGTTAAGGAAGTTATGAAAGCTACTCGTTAGTCTCCTACTCTTAAAAGGAGTAGAAGTAGCACTTGTTAAAAATGTCAATGTAATCTTAAAATCCATACTGTCGACGTATAATAGAGATATTCAAAAAAAAATATTTTCTATGATGTGGGTAAACTAGGGTTTTAACTTCAACAATTTGGATTTTTGGATCTCTGGAGTTGATTCCCAAATTACCATCTCTGTCCCTAGATCAATTTAGTTTCAGAGCTGAAGGATGACATGTGACTACATTTGGTACATTGGTAGAGTCGGGTAAGGGGTGGTTCAGGCTATAAGAAGCTTGACACAGTTCAATCCTTTTTTTGGTTGTAAATTTATTGAATAAGTACTCTCCCAATTGTGTAGAGCTTTAAAAGGGCTAAAATGGCTCTTTAAAAATTTTCTCTACCACATTTATCCCTTTGGCAAGAATACTACAATCCC